TACACTATCACAGTGCATTGTACACTATCACAGTGCATTGTACACTATCACAGTGCATGCCTAATAGTGATAGTGTGTTGTACACAGAAATTTGTTATCATCACGACACTATTTAAAGTTGCCAAGTGGCAAACATTAATTTTTGATAGTTTTATTAATGATTAATTGCACGATACAGTTTTGCCCAACCCTAACTGACTCCTGGACTTCTGAACTGGTTCTACTGGACAGTTTACTTTGGACAGATCTGAAGAAAGTTCAGGTACTTCTGACCTCACCTGACCAGGTGTTGATGGTTCTCCTGCAGCCAGTTCTGAGACATCATGCTGGGAAGAACAGGGAACCTCAGAGGACTCTGTAGGTTGGAGGTCCTGCAGTATCAGTCCCTGTCCTCCACTTCAATCTGAGCTTCACAGACTCCATTACCCAGCAGGCAATAGGAGCAGGAAGTGAACCAGCAGAGTCCAGATCAGATCAACCAAACCTTAAAGGTTGGTGAAGATTCAACCAGAACAGAGATTAAAACAGGCTGACATTCAGGTTCTTGATGTTTGTTATCTGTTGAAGGCCAATGAAATAGCCACACCCTCCCTAAAGGCCCCGCCTCTCACGGAGTCTTGAGCTTCCATAGCAACACGCTGCCTGCCAACCAGCCCAGTGAGGACTGTCGGAGCAGTACCACCTGCCTGCTGGGTCGGGGCGGAGCTCTGTTCGGTGTGTTTGATGGTCATGCAGGTCCAGCGTGTGCACAGACCATCAGCCAGAGGCTCTTCTACGACACCACTGTGGTGAAGCTGCTGCTGAGGGGGCTGCAGGAGCCCCGACAGTGAGCACTATCTCACTGAAGATGGTGAGAAAGGAAAAGGATTTAAGAAATGGCTGAACTGGAGCCAAGAGTAGAAAACTTCAAACTGAAGAAAATATGATTTCCTGTCTGCTGTCTGACGTCACATTTCAAGGCTCTCAGATTGAAAGTATCTCAGTACAAATACTTAGGTTAGTTACTTTTGTTCCCCACATTCAACAAATGATAAAAAACCCTGAAGATAAAGCTGGGTTTTTATTTTACAGTCAGAGCTTGTCTATCTTTTGAGGCTAGAAAACGTCTTGTTGCTGCCACATTTTTACCCATCTTAGATAATGGAGATGTGATTTGTGCACACATCTCCTCACTGGTTGCATCAGTTGGACTCTGTGCATCATGGAGTTGTGTGTTTTATCTCTGGTCTCAGAGCCCTTACATCACCTGTAGACCAGTGTTGGATGGACTGCCTTATCCACCCACAGCTTTGTTCTTTGGTATATTCTTGTTTTTAAAGCAATCTTGGGTTTACTTCCCTTACCCTCCTGTGCTATATCAATAAGAAAAATACAGGAAGTCATTTTATTAACAGTACCGCAGGTTCAGCTCCTCCCACTTTCCTGCTCCCTCAGCCTGGAACCTGCTGCAGAAAGACTTAAGTTTTAATGTTTGTAGGACCATTCTTAATCAGTTTGTACTTAAAACATTTGTTTGTAATTGTTTTTAACTGATTTTGTACTCTATTTTAGTCCTCTCTTACCTTTTATGAGTGCTTCTTGTTTATCTTTTATTTATCATGAAGTATTTTAATGTAGTTTAATATCTGTAGTTTTGAAGTTTGTAAAGTCTGTGTGATGCTGCTGGTGTTCTTGGCCAGGTCTCTCTTGAAAAAGAGACTTTTAATCTCAAAGAGATCTACCAGGTTAAATAAAGGTTAAAAAATAAATAAAACTAATATTTGAGAACAATCCTCACCAACTGATCAGAAAACTGGAGCCACCAGTAGAGAATAGGAAGTCTCAGAGGTTCAGACATGAAAAATAATATTTAATAATTTTACAAAATCAAATAAGATTAGAAAAACACTAACAATTAAATGGGCTCAAACCAACCAATCAGATGACCCTCTCATTGGCTCCGCCCCTCACAGCTCACAGAGCTCATTATTGGACGATACAGAGAGGCAGAATGCGTGGAGAGCTCACCCAGGAAAGCCAGTGAGAAACAAAGAAACAGGAAGTAAAGTTGTGTCACATGACCATGTGACCAGGCATCAAGATGCAGCCAATAGGAAGAAAGCTAGTCATTGTGTCCAGCTGAAAACAATCAGCTGTTCTGGATCCTTCTCTGATGTCAAACTGATCCAATAAGACGTCACGATTTTAAAAAGGGGTGGGGCCCAATGTCCAACCTCCATTTACAGAGCAGTGTTGTTGATTACCGCCTTGGGGGCGGGGCCAGCATTTGTGTGGCGGTCACAGACTCTGGGAACAGGTTGTGGTAGGTGGGCAGGGGGACGTAAGCTGCCGTGATCATCTTACCTGAAAACACAGGTGAGAGGAAGTCAAAGGTGCTCTCTGATTGGTCGACGGACAGCAGTCATGTGACAGAAGATCTTACCTCTGAAGAATCTTCCGTGGAGAGCGTTAACGGATGCCATGGCGGCAGGGATGGACAAACACTTTACGTAAACATTCCCCTGAAAGGCACAAGACATTAGAGATCCTGATTCTGAGACTGTAGGTCCGTGTATGGTGTCATCATGTATGATGTCATCAATCCACCGATGACATCATACATGTAGAAACAAACATGATGTAATCAATCCACCGATGACATCATACATGTAGAAACAAAAATTTAATTACAGTATAACAGTGTATTTAGAAACAGACCTGCTGCTGAAAGGGGCGGAGTCAGGGCAACAAACCACGTGACACAGGTAATGCACCATTTGTGGTTAGAAGCTGACCCATAGGTCAAAGGTCACAGGTGAAACATACCTCAGGTGAGTTTTTGTCCACGTAGATGTGAACGACTCCTCCGTGTTTGTTGCACTCCTCAATGACATCATGCTGGATGTTGAACTCCCAACCTGGTGTGTTCTCACTGAAACATGATACACACACAGTCACACACACTCAGCTGGATCATACACACACACACGCACACACACACACACACACACACACACCTGGTTTCACCTGAACTCATCACATCTGACACACTGCTCAAAACCAATGGTTCCTTCTGGACCACATAGAAGTAATTCAGGGGTCAAAGGTTATTCTGTTTACTTCCTGTTGCTGACTTTAAGACCAGCAGTCCAGAACCCAGGCCCACAACGAAAACACCAACAGAACTGAAAACCAACAGTCACATTTTACACCTGACCCAAACCCAGGTCACAGCAGCTGCAGAAAGTATCCTGACCCACTTCATAAAACAACAGGAAGTATCCTGACCCACTACAGGAAGTATCCTGAACAACTACAGGAAGTTTTCTGACCCACTACAGGAAGTATCCTGACCCACTACAGGAAGTATCCTGACCCACTACAGGAAGTATCCTGACCCACTACAGGAAGTATCCTGACCCACTTCATAAAACAACAGGAAGTATCCTGACCCACTACAGGAAGTATTCTGACTCACTACAGGAAGTATTCTGACTCACTACAGGAAGTATCCTGACCCACTTCATAAAACAACAGGAAGTATCCTGACCCACTACAGGAAGTATCCTAACCCACTACAGGAAGTATTCTGACTCACTACAGGAAGTATTCTGACTCACTACAGGAAGTAATCTGACTCACTACAGGAAGTATCCTGACCCACTTCATAAAACAACAGGAAGTATCCTGACCCACTACAGGAAGTATCCTGACCCACTACA